TAGCAAATAAAATTAACATTTCCAGATACCAAGGAGAATAGAAAAGAGGACTGTACATTTTCTTTAGTTATTGTTAATGGTTTTAGAAAAGCTAGATCTTCCCACTCCTTGGGGTCTACCCTGTCAGGGTTCTGAGATCTTAACCTCACACGGGCATCCCCAGGCAGGTTGCTGTGGGTCTCCAGCCCCCCCCCCCCCCCCCCCCCCCCCCCCCCCCCGCGGGCTCTGGGCCTCCCCCCCCCCCCCCCCCCCCCCGCGCGGGTGGGGGGGGGTGCCCCCCCCCCCCCCCCCCCCCCGCCACGGTCAAGGCATTATGATTCTCTACCACTTGTCCGATGTCTCTAGTCAGAGCATTCCTGCAGGCTTCAGGTTGGTTTACTGGAGCTCCTGCTGGCTTCCCTAGTAAGACCTCTCTCTTCCAGTGCCAGTGCTTCCGGCTATCTTTTTATGTAGTCCTGGGCTGGGTGAAGGAGTATCCTGATGTTCCTGTTTGGATTTCTTGATTATTCAGTCTGGTACCCTTTTTAGATCTCTTCTGGAGTACATTTGGAAGAGCTAGGCCTCCCTGCAACCTTTCACACCTCCATTTTAACCTGAATTCTACCAGATGCTTTTCAGACATAATTCCAGTTGACTCTTTCCAGCCCTTCCTTATTTGGTTCCCTGAGTACAGTTACCTGAGTCTTAAGGTCCCTGCCACCTCAGAGGGCTCCATAGAGCCCAGAGAAACTGCTCAGGTCCCCCTCAAGTGACAGGCCTTCTTTTCCCAGGATGTTTTTGAAAACTCAGAAAGGGCTTGGGGGACCAAAGGGGAGAATTGTTTAGAAGTGTGATGCTTTCTTTTTCTTTTTTACATTTGTTTTTATTCTGAAGTTAACAAATACCCAATCAAACAGGCATTTCCATAATATAGAACAAAACAGAAAAAGATTATATATGAAACTGTAGGTCTCTGTCATGTACAGTTAGTTTGCACTTATTTTTAAGTCTATAATAAGTTCAACTTATAGCTTTCAAAGCTATCCTGTTTGTACTGGTGCCTTCCTTTCTAATGACAGGAGTAGCAAATCAGTCTCTGCATAATTTTGAGTTCAATGAGTGCATTGAGTTCAAATCCAGCCTCAGACACTTCTGAGATTGTGGGCAAGTCACTTAACCTCTGTCAACCTCAGCTTCCTTATCTACAAAATGGGGATAAAAGTAGCACCTACCTCCCAAGCTTGGTGTGAGAATAAAATGAGATAATATTTGTAAAGTTCTTTGTAAACCTTAAAGCACAATACAAATGCTAGTTTGTTGTTATTCAGTTGTTTTTTCAGTCATGTCTAACTCTTCATGACTCCATGTGGGATTTTCTTGGAGTGGTTTGCCATTTCCTTCTCCAGATCATTTTACAGATGAGGAAACTGAGGCAAACAAGGTTAAGTGACTTGACCAGGGGCACATAGCTAGTAAGTGTCTGAGGCCAGATTTGAACTCAGGAAGATGAGTCTTCCTAATTCCAGGACTGGCATTCTATCTACTGCATCAGCCAGCTGCCCCAGGCCCAACAATCTTACTGTTGTTATTATCATTATTATTATTCTTCCACCCTCCTGTGCTTCCCTGTCAGTGCACTCTCTTTTGGCTGGTGGGCTGGGGAACATCTACCTGAGTAGAAGGATGAATGTCAGTATCAATCTTTGCTCTGGGACAGAAGGTAATAATCTAATAATCTCCCAGCTGCCTTACTACAGACACCCTGGCCTGTACTGGGGACTGGTGACTATGCCAAAAGTGTCATCGATTATAGTATGTCTCTGGCAAACTTTTGTCATTCTCAAAACAGGCCAAAAAAATGTATTCTTGTTACTGGGAGTCCTGAGCATTAGATATTCCTGGTGCTGTTATTACTAATTTCACCAACTTACCGCTGTAAATAGCCCCCTGACATCACTGACCACATACAATAGGTTTTTAAGATCTGAGACTCAGATCCCAAAAGAGGGAGGCAAAGCCTAAGATTTCTGGTCTTTGTTCTCTTCCATATTTGGTCAGTTTGGTACTGTGCTCCATCAGGAGGTCATTACATTGCTTATTGTCTTTTTTGCTATCTTTCTGGTTTTATTATTCTTTTACCTACACTAAGCTCCTCTGACAATGCTGCCTATGTCAGGCTTCTCACATCCCCCAGATCAGAGTTGATTAATAATGGCCCTATGGCCATTTACGTGATGGAAAATTCCCTGGAAGAATTTCAACCTCTTGCCACCAAGGGGTGGGATGTGATAGAAGCAACATCTATTCTACAAAGGCTAGGCTAGTTTTTCCCTGAGGAGCCAATGAAATTATCTTTGACACTTAATTGGTTCTGGGAACTAAGGTTTGAACCCTTGGTGTAGCTTCCTGGCTGCCTATATCTAAAAGCCTAGCACACAGGGAGTTGGACACTTCTCTGACTTGATAGACTTTCCATTACCATGCAAGTCAACATATCCAGCATACCCTTCTGACTGAGCATGTCACTTGTGGCAAATGTAAATCGTCATATTTATTTGTACCAATGCTGTGCCCTTGCTGAATATTCCTTGTAATCCTGAGTCTAAAACACTGGACCAGCCTGAGTAAGGTCTGGTCCAGAATATCCCCTACTTCAACATGAGCTCCTAAACGACAGATGGAATTTCCCTAAAGTGCCCGGCATAGTTCTCTGCATACAAGTAAAGCATTTAAACACTTGGTGCTGGGAGTACAGCGAATATGACCCTAAGCTGTGGGAAGTTAAAAGTGAGGGTGTACAGTGAAGGAATACTCTAGGGAGAAAGAAGCAAAGCTCGAACTTCCCCAAACAAATCTGGGGCACTGGGAGATACTGGAGATATAAAAACTCAGGAGAGCAAAAGCTGGGGAACATCTGTAAACGTTGTTCCCTTCCAGGCCGAGTTGTTCTCTCACAACATGTGGCCTGGAGATTGTTCTGGACTTTGCCAGCAGTCAGCAAAGCATCATCAGAGAAAGGGAAAAGAGAAAGGAGGTGACCCAGAGTTACTAGGAAGGCCAGGGTTGATCCTGGTTGGACAGATACTAAATTGGGGCCTTTGTCCCACTAAAGCCATTCACACAATGGGGTTATATTGCTATGCTGAGTAGGCATCCCATGGGCCCACAGCTGAGCTGCAGATGGCAGGGGAGGGAACCTGGTATGGGCAGAGTGTCCCTGAGCTCCAGAGCAATATCCCACTGGCTCTTATCATTCCCATCTCTAGCTTCTCAGAAAGATGTAAATTGTCCTCCTTGTTGTAAACTGGGTCTTAATGAGGCAGCAGCCTCAGATAGACCATCCTACCTTTTGAAGCCAGTGGGATCATTTACATAAAGTGGGATAACCTGTACTTTGGGGGATATCCTGAACCACCTTATCAAGCAACCTAATGGAAATTTTCCTTCTCAGCTTGGACGATATAATCTGACCAACTTACACATTTACTCTCACATACTTATGCTGCCGTACTAACTCCTAAAATTTAAATGAATAAGCTATTAGAGATTTTTTAAAGGGGTTTTTAGACAGCATTTTGTTTAATCCTCTTATCTTAGAGATGAGGAAACCAATGGCCAGAGAGGTCCAAGGTTGTCCATCTCTGATGTGATAGAAACAGAATTCAAACTCAGGTCTTTTGACTCCAAGTCTAGCACTCTTGCCATGACAGTATCAGTTCATTTTTGCCCTGCCTCATTTAAAGTCTGCTAAGAAGGATAATTGGGACCATGGAATCAAAAGATCTGGGTTCAGATCTTGCCTTTTCCACTTGAAACAATCACCTTAACCTTCCTGAACCTCAGTTCTCGTAACTATAAAAAAAAAAAAAAAAGGAATGATGGGGCAGCTAGGTGGCACAGTGGATAGAACACCTGCCTTGAAGTCAGAAGGACACCTGAGGTCCAGCCTCAGACATTTACTATCTGTGTGATCCTGGGCAAGTCATACCACAAAATGAAAAAAGGGATGATAATATCTGTACAACCTACCTAATCAAATAAGATGATAAACATAAAGTTCTTTGGAAACTTTGAAGTGCTATGAATATACAGTTGGGCATTGGGGGGTTCACACAGACACTCATTTACTCCCTGCTTCTACAATGGTTTTTCAATCTTTTATGGGATGGAAAAGAAATTCCTTTGGCAACCTTTGTAGGCCACCATATACTTACGACCTCTATTGCTTTTTAAAATTTTTCACTTTTAGATTCAGGGGGCTAGGTCAGTTCCCAATGTAGCCCTGGGACCCACTCAGGTCCAGGTTGTTCAATTGGTGAGAGTGGATGTCCCTCCAAGGACTATAGTCTCCATGTTCCTTTCCAGGGCCTTAGATTGTAGGACAGTGGAAATATGAGTTCTTTTTTGGGCTGAGATCTGTTGTCCTGAAATGCAAACCCAGAAAGGAGATTGAGGAGTGAGGGGGATGACTTTGTCCCCATCTCCAAAGTCTCTAAGTTACTAGAAGTCAGAAACCTTGCTCATAATAAAAGTTTGTTGCAGTTAATAAAAAGGTTCATTGAATTGAATTGCCAAATAATCAGCCTCAAAAAAAGGGATAGAGAGGATTAGGTAGAATTCCTTTTCCAATTCTCCCCTAGAGACCCTACCTCAAATTCACCCAGGAGAGTCTGGAATTGGGAGGGCAAAGAAGGAGGGAGGGGGAAGATTTGTGTAGAAAGGAGCAATAGTTTCTTTGGGGAGTAAGAAAATTGAATCCAGGGGCAAGCAGAGGGGGCTAGGAGGTGGTACTGAAGGGGGAGAATAAGGCTGCTTTCCATTGGCTGAAGGAAGGAGGATAAATTAGTGTCAGAGGAGATGCAGAGCTCAGACTTGCTATTCCTCTCCCTCTGACTGTGGTATCTGAACTGCTTGGCTTCCAACTTCACCAATCCACTGATCCCTAGTCCATCTAGACCTAAAAGAAGATCCTTTGATCTGAAAAGGAGAAACCAGCAGAGACCCCATACCGCAAGGGTAGAATGGTAATCTGGGAGGTAAGATGAGTGTGTTGGGGGAGTGAGATAAATGTGAAGGGAGAGAGATATGACTTCCAGCCTTTTCCCAGTGATTCTATCTTTCTCATAGAGCAAAGGTTCTTAACCTGGGATCTGTAAACTTGTTGTTTTAATATTTTGATAACTCTATTTTAATATAGTTGGTTTCCTTTGTAATTCTGTGTATTTTATTTTATATATTTAAAAACATTATTCTGGGTAGGGGTCCATAAAGTTCACTAGACTGCCAAACAATAAAAGCTGGCTTTAGAGAGCCCAAACATCTAGTCTTCCCCATTTCTAAGTCTGGGTCCAGCATGGTGATATTACTTTCTCTGGCCATCCACTATAAGGCACCAGCCATATACTAAGCTTCTAACCATCTCTTTCCCAGGATCTGAGGAGCCAGCAGTTCTGGAAGGCAGTGTTGGCTGAGGGCCTGGGCACCCTGATCTTTGTAGGGGTGGTACTTGGAAGCTCTTGCCCTAGCAGGGGCTCTGTTCCAGGCATAACCCCAGATCCCCTACAGCCAGCCCTCGCAGGAGGGTTGGTAGTAGTGGCCCTGGTGCAAGTTTTGGGAGATGTCAGTGGAGCCCAAACCAACCCAGCTCTGACCTTGGCACTGCTTTGTGCTCGACGACTTGATCTGCTCCGGGGAACTGCCTTCATTCTGGCACAAAGCACAGGTGCCATTCTGGCCTCTTCCATTTTCTACCTGGCACTACCCCAGACTGTTGTAGTTCAGCTTGTAACCAGGGTGAGTAGCAGTCCCCATTAGCTAGCAACAAGCAAAGGAGAAGGGATGGGCAGCACCTGAGAAACCTGGATGGGGAAAAGGAGAGAGAAAAAAAAATAAGAAAAGATCCCTTTTTTCGTTGTTAAACAGCATGTTCATGCGTAAATAAATATTTATCTAAATAAATCATTTATGGAATCAACATCTTTGACACACTAACTTAAGGTCCTCTGCCCCAGGGCTCCTTAAAGCATAAGATCTGGGGAAAAAAAAAAAACCACACACACACACACAATGTCCCAGTCTCCTAACCCTGAACATTCTTGTTCTCCTCCAGGTAAGCAGTGGAGGTCATGCAGGCCAAGCCCTAGGTATAGAATTTTTCTCCACCTTTCAGCTAATTCTCACTGTATTTGCCGTTACTGACCAGCAGCAACAGAGAGAGACAGGTGGGCTGGGCAGTCTGGCTGTGGGCTTTTCAGTGACTGCAGGGACACTGGCTGCGGTAAGAGGATCCTCCTTCCTACTCCCTCCTACCTTTAAGACCTTTAAAGGAGTGTGACCACAACTCAGTGTGAAAGTTGGTTTTGCTCTTAATAAACTGAGTTAACCTTGGAAACAATAAAAATGCAAATGATATGCAAATACATGCAATACTTTCAAATGAACACCTGTGTGAGATTTTGAGTCTGCAGTTCTGATGATGTTTTTTAGATCTCATTTTTATTTGATCTATTGTTTTATTGATCTATATCACCTTCATTCCACCCCACCTCTCCAGTAAGCCATCCCTTGTAACAGACTTAAAAGGAAAAAAAAAGCATTTCAGTAAAACCAGCCAACGTATTAACCATGTCTGACAGTACATGCCATAGTACACACTCCTGGTCCTCCACCTCAACAAAGAGGAGAGGGAACGGTTTTTTTTTTGTCGTTGTTTGTTCTTTGTTTTCCATTTCTTTCTAAGGCCAAGCTCGGTTATTATCTAATACCTTTTGAAAAGGATAGCATTTGGCCGAGCAGAGAGGCTGATGTGAGAAGTAGTGGCTTTAGGGTTCAGTGATCAAACTCTAGGATTCTTTCCAGTGCTCGACAGAGAATAAAAAGAGAGGGGCTGATGACACCCACAGTACAAATCTACCTATTCTACTCTGGGGCCAGAAGGACTTGAGTCTCCAGCCCCATCCTACTCCATGACAGTAGGATATAATGAGGATGGGCTTTGGAGCAGAGACTTATCTCTTCCTGTTACTTGCTTTGTGCAGGGAACTTTCTCTGGAGGCAGTATGAATCCTGCCAGGTCCCTGGGGCCTGCTGTGGTGACCGGGATCTGGGACCATCACTGGGTGAGACCTAAGAGGACGGGCGCTCGAAGCTGAGCAGTGGAGCACAAAATTAGGCTTAGGGTTCCTGACCCTTGGAGAGGTCCCAAGGAGTTGTGTGACCTTCACAAGGTCACTTTGCCTCATGCAGGACCATAGGATCATAGACTTAGAGCTGGCAGGGACGTTAGATGTCATCTCATCCATTTCCCCCATTTCCCCCATTTTCCAGATGAGGCCTAGATAAGTCGAGTCACTTGTTCAAGGTAGTAATAGAGTGGATACAGCATTGGGTAGTCAGGAAAACCTGAGGTCAAACGTTGCCCCAGACATATACCAGCTGTGTGACCTTGGGCAGATCATTTAATCTGTTTGCCTCAGTTTCCTCAACTGTAAAATTGGGATAATAATAGCACCTACCTCACAAGGTTGTTGTAAGGATCAGATATTTGTAAAGCACTTGTAAAGTGCCTGACACATAGTAGGTGCTATATGTTTATTCTCTCCCTCTCCTTCCCTTTGTGATGCCTAAGCTCACACTTTTTTCATTTTCTAAATAATCCTTTTCATCTCAGAGAATGATTATGTGATCTCTAATGAACTCTTTCTCGGAGAATTCCCTATTCCCCTTCCGGCTAGAGTGTATTGACTTACCTTAAAGCCCTTGCTATCATTCCTGGATCATTCTCGACTCCCCCCCTTTCCCCACAGTGGATTAGGTTAGATTGGTCCTAACCTCCCTATATCAAATCAGGAAGGATGCCGACTTGTGCCAGGCACTGAACTAAGTGTGGGGGATGCAAGGAAAGGTCCAAACCATCCCTGCCCTCAAGGAGCTCACAATTCCACATGATTGTGTAAATCTCAAGCAGGTCCTGATCCTCATCCCATCTCTCCTCCCGGCAGGTGTACTGGATGGGTCCCACCATGGGTGCCATTCTTGCAGGCCTCTCCTTTGAGTTTCTCTTCTCATCAGGAGCTTCTCAGAAAAAGCTTGTCATCTGTGTAACCTGTCGTGATGTGGAAATGGTGGAGGCTGCCAACATGTCCCACTCTTCTATCTCCACTGCCACACAGCACTCACCACCACGCCCTCAGTCCCATCCCAAGCTTGAGCACAACTGAACCCCCTTCCTGCCAGTCTCTCCCTGTCCCATCTCTCTCCCCTTGACCAACCTGCTCCCCTAAACCACCCCCAAAGCCCTTCCCTGGATGCAGGTAGTATGGCACTGTCTGGATCTGGTATTCAGATCTGGCATCTTTCTAGGTGACTTCTAGATCCTTCTACAGTCCTGTGACTCAGTTTCCTTCTCTCCTCCACTTAGTGTTATTGAAGTCTTGAATTAGGATGGAGTAAAGTGTGTGTTGATTTTAAGGTAAAATTACCAACATCTCACCTCTAGCACCTCCATGAAGAACCCTACCCTGGTTCTACTTCCTCCCCCTGAAAAGCACCCCATGGTGCTAGAGGCCAGGCTGGGGCTTGGAATGGAGGGGGCAGAGGGAGACCAGGGCTCAGAGAAAGCCCAGACACAGCAAAAATCATTCTGTCCCAGGCCTGCAGGGTTCACAGATTCCAGCCCTGGCCAGCCAATGACAGTGGATCCTTTAATCCTCCTGGATGGGGCAATTCACTCCTTTACACACCCTTCCTGCCATCCCCCAATTCCCACCCCCAAAAACTGAAGCTGGCTGACTCAGAGTAGCCCTGAGGCCCCCAAGAACACTGCCTTTGACCCCAAAGACTTTCTCTGAGCCTGACTTTCATGTCACAAGCAGAATGTAGCAGTGTTCCTCTATCTATAGCATCAGTTCAGCACCCTGGACCTCCAATTCAAGACACTAATTTCCCTTCTTCCCTCCCCTTCCCAGAATCTCCCCAGTTCCCAACCCTTCTCTGTTGATTCTGCCCATCTCTCAACTGGGAGAAGGGAGGGGGGAGGGGGGAGGGAAGCAGCTTTATAAGGTGTGGACAGTGGGCCCATCCCTCTTCAGCAGTGATGGGGTTAAGAGGCTGGGCCAGCAGCCTTTTGTCTGCCCCTCCCCGTGGATTAAGAGCTCTTCTATAAAGGAAGCTGTCCAGTGGGGCCAGGCCAGGGGGGTAGCAGGGACCCAGGAACTGTGTCCATCTCCCCTGTTCCCCCCACTCCCCCCTTGCAATGTGGGAACTTCGCTCAGCCTCCTTCTGGAGGGCCATCTTTGCCGAGTTTTTTGCCACCCTTTTTTATGTCTTCTTTGGGCTGGGGGCCTCGCTACGATGGGCACCTGGCCCTGTACACGTCCTGCAGGTGGCTGTGGCCTTTGGACTAGCCCTGGCCACGTTGGCGCAGGCAGTAGGCCATGTCAGCGGAGCCCATGTCAACCCCGCTGTCACCTTCGCTTTCCTCGTGGGCTCCCAGATGTCCCTGCTCCGGGCCCTCTGCTACATTGTAGCCCAGTTGCTGGGGGCCGTTGCTGGGGCTGCTGTGCTGTATAGTGTTACCCCCGCAGCTGTCCGTGGGAACCTGGCGCTTAACACGGTAATGGCCACAGAGAGCTGGAGGGGAACCTAGAGCTATATTCCTCTTTGTTGGCTGGGGGGGGGCGGGGGCGCATAGGGGAGAGGATTATCATAGTGGGGAAGTCTGGAGGGGGTTGCAGAGAGAAAAGGGAATGTTTCTTCACCAGCAGCTAGGGCAAAGGATATAGGAACCCTGGACTGAAAGTCAAGACATTCGGGGTCAACGTCCTAGCTTGTGTAGCTTTGGAGAATTTAACATCTCTGGACTTCAGTTATAAGTGGGCATAATTATACGCAAACATTTGTTGAAGATAAAATAAAATAATGAATACTAGTATCCGAGTGGTTCACAGCCTCCATCTTCCCCTGGGAGGATGCAAACGATTATTAATGTTCTTTCAAAGGAGGAGATGGGGCAGGTGATGGGGCAGTGCTGCCGAGCCCTTCACAGCCGATCTCCTCTCTTCTCCCTGGCCAGCTCCACCCTGGGGTGAGCGTGGGTCAGGCCACTATCGTGGAGATCTTCTTGACCCTTCAGTTTGTGCTCTGCATCTTTGCCACGTTTGATGAGAGGAGGAATGGACGCTTGGGTTCTGTGGCATTAGCTATTGGTGGCTCTCTCACCCTGGGGCACCTGTTTGGGGTAAGCTGTGGGTGGGGTAAGGGAAACCCCTACTCAAGGAATGCCAGGGCCCTGAAACCTTTCCCGATCCCCAGAAGAACTTTTTGAATTCTGAAATCTCCTAGAGTCCATATATTGATTTTTTTTCCCTGGGGGGGCAGTAGGGAGGGGAGGGAACAGGTGTATATATAGCTATCTCATCTTACATCTGAGGTAGAGGTCCATTAAACAGGGGCAGTGGAGGTATGCTTGCTTTCAGGTTACAAGTCACCAGGTTTGGCTTCAATGACCTGCACCCCATCCCTATCAATTCCCTCAGAACAATTCCCTCCTTGCCCACATCCCTCACCCTTGTTTTGCCAGCTGCTAGGGAAATTGGGTCATCTCAGACTGGGGACATGGTGGAGGGGTGGGTGTGGGAAGGGGGAAGACTGTGGAGGTTCCTATTACAGCCGTGTCTCTTGCAGATGTATTATACAGGTGCAGGCATGAACCCTGCTCGATCCTTTGCTCCTGCTATCCTCACCAGGAACTTCAGCAACCACTGGGTAAGGGAGAGGGACAGACAAGGGAAGGACACAGAGGTGGGTGGGACCCAGGGATCCAGAGTTTAGTTCCCACTTTCCATCAGGAGCTCTTAGCTGCCCACCAGCGACCTCCCCTGAGTGTGCCTCTGAGAGAGACTGTCCATTTGCAAATAGTACAAATCTAATCTTGATCTCAAAACAAGGTTTTCCAATGCAGAGAGGACACACATGCTGTATCTAAAATTACATAAGTATTAAGTGACCAAGTCAAGGAAATGAATATAGGGTCTGACCATAAATTCATCACTCTTTTCACTCAAGCTGCTTCTCAGATTGCTATGTAGCCCACTGTGTGCTGAGAAACTATGACAGAGATAGAACTAAAGATGAAGAAAATGTTCCCTTATCTTCAAAGAATTTATAGTCTTGTTGGGAATATAGTGCACATAAATCTGAAAAAAAAGAAATTTTAAAAAATAACATGGGGGGCAGCTAGGTGGCGCAGTGGATAGAGCACCGGCCCTGAAGTCAGGAGGACCTGAGTTCAAATTCGGCTTCAGACCACACACTTGACACTTACTAGCTGCGTGACTCTGGGCAAGTCACTTAACCCCAGTAGCCTAAAACAAAACAAAACAAAACAAAACAAAACATGAAAATATGAATTTACAAACATACATAGCTGCTGAAATGATGTGGCTTAAAGAATGAACAAAAGTGGGAAAGTCAGGAAATAGGACCTCCCTGGCCTCCCTTTCTGTGTAAGTGAATATAGTCACCTCTGTCCTCCCCCCCCAATCACAGTCTCTTGAATATGAAGTGAGACAATGGGTATAACTATCAGCTTGCTCATATTATCCTCTTCTCTCCCCAGAGAAAATGGGACAATTTGAGGGGGTGATGCTGCTGAAGCATCTTGAGCTGGGTTTTGAAGGAGAAAGGAGTAGTTCTGTCTAGAAAAAAAAAAAAGTGGTTCCAATTTGGTCATGTCCAGTTCCACACCCTAATCCCAGACTGCCTATATTCCAGAATGTCTGTTGGGTTGGGGGTTGAACTGAGAGAATGACTTCTCTTCTGCACTGTCCTCCCCTTTCCTAGCTCAAACCTCCTTTCCTCTACTTACAGGTGTACTGGGTAGGCCCGATCATCGGGGGAACTCTAGGTGGCCTCCTCTATGACTTCCTCCTCTTTCCCCGGATCAAGAGTGTCTCAGAGAGACTAACTATCCTCAAGGGTACCAGGTCTAATGACTCTGAGGGGCAACCAGAGGTCACTGGGGAGCCTGTTGAGCTAAAGACCCAAGCCCTATAGGGGCCTCAATAGGACTGAGGTGGACAAAGGCTGTTTTGTTTTGGTGGCAGGGGGAAAGCCAGTCCCCAGGGGAATGGGGGGCATGCACCTCTTTATTTTTTTATTCATTTGTGGGGGCAAGGTGTTTGTTTTTTTGCTGTGTGAGATCTGGTTAGTGCAGATACCACCCCCCACCATGCCATGGTTACATGCTTGTGCATATGTATGTGGATGTGTGTGGCCATGTATCTACTTGTGTTTAGGGGCATGAAAGTTGGGGGAAGGAAAAGGGGTTTGTGTGTCACCCTATGCTTCTCTTGCCTAACCCCACAACCCACTCTGGGTGTGCAAAGGGTAAGGGCAGACCTAGCACCCTAAATTTCCCCTCTTCATTGTACTGCCAGCTGTGTGTGACCCTTGATTTCCAACTGCAGGGGTCGTGGGGGCTGCTCCCAAAGGTGAGAGACAACTTCGGAGAGGCAAAGGACCAGTGCATTCCAAGGGGGAGACAGCTATTTAGTCTAGCAGGGAATTTTGGGGTGGAGAAGCTCAGCATCTCTATGGGGGTCAGGCTGAGACTTTGTCGATGAGAGGGATTCCAGGTAGAGGATGGAACAGAAGCTTCAGACCAAGTTGTAGCTGGACCATGTAGAGCTAGAGAGACATGATAGGTGAAGACAATGAATTCTCCCCAACTCAGAGCTACTTGTCTGGTGGGTAGACTGGCTGCTTGGGATGAGGGCATACTGCTCAGGTTTGGGCTATTTTGTAAAGCAGCATAAACCCCTCTACACAAAATGGCTGGGTTGCGTTTTCATTCTGGGACAGGGGTGGGTGGATCCCAGGGCTAGCTCTCTACTTTGGTCATAGGAACTTCAACATTTCCAACACCCCCCTCCCCCATCCTGTGGCAAATGGCATCTAGATCCCAACACAGAGAGCCCAGATCCTGGTCAAGAGAGGGGACAGTCAGAGGAATGAGAGCAGAAGGAGAAACTGTTCTAGGGAGGGGTTAAGCCTACCCAAGTTAGAGGAGCCCCTGTGATCTGAGTTACATCAAATCATCCTTCAAATGGCACCTTTCTCTCTCTGTGGTTTTCTGCTTTCACTTCTATAACTCTTTTCTACTTTCTTTCCCTCTGTTCTTTCAATAAATCTTATCTTTTTTTGCCTCCCGCCTCTAAAC